CCTTCACCTGGTACACCTACTGCACGACTTCCTACAGTTCCCCCAACACATCTTTATCAAACATCACTTGCAAAGGAGTCTGCCTTACTCTCCCACGCTCTTTCTTATTTCTATGGCTTTGCTTTTTTCTGTTTGTTCTGCTACCAGAATTTCCTTTCTCTTCTAGTCCTGCTGGCCAACTTCTACACATTCTTCAAGACTCAGATCAAGCATTGCCTCTTGCATGGAGTTTCTTCTGACTCCTCTGTAGCAATTAGCCAGTCTCTACCCTGGGCTCTCAAGGAACCATGCAATCTTCCACTGCATTCTGATTTTTGAAAATATATTCCCCCACACTAAATTACAGGATCTTTGTGCAAATATAAGTCTTATCCTCTAGCAACTCTTATCATCCTAGGGGCAAGGGCGGCCTGAATGTTTATTCAATTAATGAATTGCCATGGACTATGGAGAAAGACAAACCTAGGTTAAAATCACTCTCCCACGTACTAGTTCTATGACCTCAGCAAGAGCTCTGTGTCTCTGAGCTTCATTTCTTACCTATAAAATAAAAATTATTACCACACCCCTACAACAATAGAATAAAACAATAAATCAGATTTAGAAAATAATCAACTGTTGGAAGGATGAGGAAAGAAAAGGCATTTGAGATGAAGCTGAGACATCTGGGAATAACATGAGTGAATGAAGTTTCCATGAACTAAGAGAGGGAATGTTAGGTAAGGAGCAGTGCCATAAAGAACCCAACATGTAGTAGGCATTCAGGTTCTACCTTCCTTAGGGAAGTATTGCAATTGAACAATAGGGGGAAATATTAAGCAGATCCCTTAAATCTTATTTCTTTCTGTTACTGCTTGATTTCTGTTAATGACTTGGATAGATGCCAAGGCATGTCGTTGGGGGCAAACACACACACACACACACAGACACACACTCACATATGATATCAATGTCTCTGACAGACTCTAAGACAAACACACCAAGGGATGTGATCATCCCCCTAAGTGGCTGCTAACTTGCTTGCCTGGCACCACATCATATCTACACACATATATAGCTGGACAGGCAAGTAAAGAGTGCCAGTCTGTGCCAACATGACCCATGACACCAGGGACCCTGTTCTTGCAGGAGGGCTGCGTTTAATGCTCTCCTTCCCTGGTAAGCAGGCTCGGGAGAGCGGCTCATCTGGGGCCCCCACTTCCTGGCCCTGACACAGTTGTTCCTGCTCTCAGATTGGGAGTTGCTGCCTGGGGAACAATGTCTGGGAGAGAAGGAAGCACCATCTAGGATAGCAGAGCCTGCAGGTAGAAGGGTTGGATCAGCTTGGAATGGCTCTGTAAGCCAGGAAAAGATGTTCAGAGAGTTCTAGAAAGTAAAGTAAAGAGAAGAGGAGACAGCCCATCTACCAGGACTCAGGGATAGGCAGGAGACAAGAAGACCAGACAATTCTAAGAGCAGAGAGAACCCAGATATAACAGAGTATTTGGCAAAGAAACAATCCAAATGCAGAATTGGCTGGGCTGGGCTGGAACAGGTGGAGGATGCTTATCTGGGGGTGAATGTTAGCACAAAAATGCCAAGCCTTCTGTAACGGTCTGTTTTTTGTTTGTTTGTTTGTTTGTTTTTGATCCAATCAGACAAGCCCTGCCTGAATGGTGATGATCTGGAGGCACTGAACTGAACAGGGAAAAGGGTAGCACCTCTGCCCATGAGGGCAGGCCCTATTTTTCACAAGCATTGCGATCAGTAGTGCATGTCAGTCCCCATTCATATCCATCACCCATAGGTAGCAGCAGAACAATCAGCACCAGAGGCGTTTGAGTCCTACTACATTATAGCTTACAATAAAGCAGCTAGGTTTTCTTGCCTGGTGTCACTGTCCTAGTCGCATCCTGTCTACTAACTCCTAGGCTAGCACAGAAGCTGAGGGATAGAAGATAGTGTCTAACACATCTAGTCCCACCCACTTTTTACAGGGAAAACAACGTTTCTAGAAAGGTTAAGTGACTGTTCAACATAATACGATTAGTTTGTGCTAGAGACAGAACTGGAATTCATTCTTTTAACATTCAATAGAAGATTCTCCTCATTCTACCAAATAACCAGCCTCATACTGTAGGTAGTCTGGAATTTAACTTTTGGGGAAACGACTCTTTTGTTAGGAAAAAAATCATTGTAAAAAACATTTTACCTACGCAAACCTAAGGCAATGGCACACCAAAATTCTTGAGGAAGATCTACCTGGGAGCTATGAGTAACCCAAATGCCAATGCATCAAATGGAACCTTCAAGTGTCCTGTCTGGTACTTTTTTTTCTTTATGAGACGGAGTTTAGCTCTGTCGCCCAGGCTAGAGTGCAATGGCACAATCTCGGCTCACTGCAACCTCCGCCTCCCAGGTTTAAGCAATTCTCCTGCCTCAGCCTCCCTAGTAGCTGGGATTACAGGCGCTCGCCACCACACCTGACTAATTTTTGTATTTTTAGTAGAGACTGAGTTTCACCATGTTGGTCAGGCTGGTCTTGAACTCCTGACCTCAGATGATCCACCTGTAATTCCAGCACTTTGAGAGGCCAAAGTGCCGGGCTTACAGGCGTTAGCCACCGCACCCAGCCTCCTGTTCAGTATTATACACTTAGAGCAGTTTATCCTATTTCCCTACATATTTCGTTGGAAAATTTTTCTTCTCATAAATCTAAATTTCAGGAGAGATATAACTGAAAATTACTGTGTGTTTATGAGACATATCCATATGGTTATTATATTAGCCAATAATTCACTCCCCAAAAATCAGGTACGGAAGAGATGTGTAGACGTTTACTTTGAAGCGAGGTGTAGAATTGACTAGATCTGACATAGCACAATCTAGACTAGACTGTTTATGTCAGCATTGGACATCATCTCATGCTTTATAAGGCAGACTTTGTTTAACGTCTTGTGAAACCATTGTATTGATGTTTGAGGTTATGTAGACAGATACAGCATTGAGGGTGAGTTGTGATTTCCCCTGAATGTAATAGATATTCTTGCCATCGGTCATTCTAGGACAAGGTTAATCTCAGGACAAAAAAAAAAGCAAAACTGAAGTAGAATAAATAATGCCTACCTTACCATTTGGAGAATCAGAATCAGTTGACCTGGAATCAGGAGAGCTGGGGTTGACATGACACCTGCTACATGGAAGCAAATCAGCAGGTAGGCAGGGGTCCAGCCCAGTAAAATACTCTGGGGTTGGTTCATGCCCATAGATTCTAAGGATAGCCAATGCGACAAGTAATAAACTTCCCTCATGGTCAAGGCTTTGGTGAGGCTTATTAAAAGTCATAGTTTGACCTCATGTGAGCTCACAGGAATTAGAAAACACATGTTTGAAAAGGAGGAGCCAAGAGAAGAATGGCTGTGCCTCTCCCTAACGCCAGCTGTGGGTTATCAGGGACAGCCTCCAGCCAAAATGTTAGACCGAGACAGGCATTGATAGCCATGGGATTATCAGCAACAGGGACAGAAATGGTGTAGCAAGATTAAGAGGGTCAAAGAGACCAGGGAAGAGCCTCAAGTTCTTATTTCAGAAGAGAAACAGTGGGGGTGAACAACTCAATTGGTTACTAATTTGGGAGACAGTTAGGCTAATGAAAAAATATACCAGGCATAAATTTATTTTGGCTGTAAGCAAGAGCAAATCAGCTCTGGCTAGCATATTACACTTTTCTTTAAAAAGCAGGGATGAAGTTTTATTAGAAGGATCACTGGACATCTCATGGTATAGAGGAAAGAATAGGAAAACCAAAACCTAGGAAGGAAAAGCCAAAGGAATTGATGAAACCTCTGTATGAAATGCGGGCACTAATATGGCTTGTTTCTGATTTCCAATCAACTCTGTTTCTCTCCTTTGCAAAATAAAACTTCAAAAAGAGAAATAATTGAAATGGCTTGAGCTATCATTAGGGCAAGAACAACAGAAATCTACCCCTGTGGCTAATGGGAGGGAGGAGATTTTTCTCCCTTTCCACATTGCTCAGGTTGTAAGAACTGCATCCTTCACAGAAACATTACCTGTATTTACTCCATTTACTCCTGCCCCTTCTCACCTGTCTCCAGAAGGACAGTATTAGTTTTCTATTGTTGCATAACTAAGTATCAGAAACTTAGCTACCTAAAACCACACGCCTCTGTTATCATACAAGTTTCTGTGGTCAGGAGTCCAGAAACATCTTAACTGACTCCTTTGCTCCACGTCTTACAAGGCTGTAGTCAAGGTGTTGTCAGGGCTGGTTCTCATCTGGAGGCTCAACTGAGGAAGAATCCACTTTCAAGTTTATTTCAGTTGTTGGCAAAAATTATTTTCCTGTGGCTATATCCTGAGGACCCTGACTTTTCAATGGTGCCACCTGAAGGTAGCCCACATTTCATAAAGGCTGCAGCAATTCCTTGCCACGTGGGCTTCCTCAACATGGTGGCTTACTCCAGCAAGCCAGTGAGGGGAATCTTTCAGTGGATAACCTAGCCCCTCTTCTAAGATATTTTACTTGATGAAGTCAGGCCCATCAAGGATAATTTCCCTTTGGATTAACTCTAAACCAACTGATTTCTAACCATTAGGTCTGCAAAATCTCTTTTCCTTTGTCTTATTCTGTTGAAAAGAAGCCAGTCACAGGCCTGCTCACACTTACTTACATAGGGTATGAATCCAGGAATGTGAATCACTTTGACTCTCCCCACTTATCCCCATAGGACAAGGTATTAAACTGATAATTTGTGTCCCCAGAAAAGGCTTGAGAGAGTCAGAATAATGACAAAGACCCAGGTGTGAAAAAGCAGGCAGGCTGGCACGTGGCAGAGCATGTCCATGGCCAAACCTATCCCAGTCTTACCCCTTTGTAAGAAAACTTTGGGGAGTTTCCAGTTGCACACAGAATGCAAAAAAGGGTCTCTTACATCAATGCGCACTCCAGATGTCTGCCATAGAAGCTCTACCCTTTCCAAAATCATGACAAAGGCGAGATGGCCTCTTCCAGCTTCCAAGGTAAGTGATGTGCTATGTCCTTTTCCCTCCCTTATACTAACCTGTATGTCTCAGGCCCTAGCAGCCTGCAACTACCAACTAGTTTTCAGTTCTCTTCTACACCCAATTGTTAAGCATGGAGGAAACACCTTAGGGTGGCTGCCCAAATAAGAATTTTTCTCACTCCTTTGGCACTTGGCCTCCAAACACCAAGTGGTTTTTGAGGCTCCACATCATCACAACTCTCTCCTCTGAGGTCTGAAGAAATTAGAAAATAGAGGAATCAGATAGGGATCAAAGTACCAGTTTTGTGAGTAGTAAAGCTGTATAGAAAAACAAGGTTTGGATCTGGCCAACATGCGTTTTCTTCCCTTCTCTCCTGAACTGAAATTCCCTACTTGGACATAGTCAGAGAAGTTAAATGACTGCCGGGCTGCCCTGGAGAATTTGCTTGAAGGAGGAGATAAGAGTATTTGTGGTATGAGTGCAGGCAGATGAGAAAGAGTAAGAAATGGTGAGAGAGAATGAGAGTGCACATGTCCAGATGGAGACCAAAGGCTAACTGGCTCTACATCTCATTGGTTGTGAGTCTTTTTGGTAGGGACGTGACCAGAGGAGAGGCAACTTCACAAGTGCCATGACTTCTGACCAGAAGAGAATCTGAGACAGAGTGGCTGAGTGACCAGCTCAAGAACACACTGGATTCGGGAGCCAAATGGAGAGTTAGACTCCTCTTTGTGGCCCCTGGCTACACTGTCCCCTTAATATAGAGCAGAGGTGAATTAACCCCTCACATCCCTAGGATCTCCCCAGAAACGAGCTGTTGATGTCAATAAGCCAGAAAACCAGGGGCCCGTGGGGGTCAGTTCCTGGGGCACCTCAGTTAAGATGGTTAATAACCACAGCAACATGATTTATTACTTAGCACTCTCAGGGAGTCCGCTGTCACTGCAGGCGCCTCCTTCCCCAGCCCAGTTCCCTTCATTTGCATAGTTAATGATTGTGTTATTAACATCTCATTAGTGTCAGGCCCAGGTGACCAGAAAGAAAAGTGCCTCTTGCCTCTTGTATTTCAGAGAAAACCCCAACCAGACTGTGAACTCCAGGGTCTGGTGAGCCAGAAACAGGTGGTTCCTAAAACAGGAGTCACAACTCTTTTTTAACAACAAAGGACAACCCTAAAATCACATCAATACATATAATAAAATCTCTTAAGTGATGTACCCTGAATACCATGTCATGAACTTGCACTTTACTTAGGTAGTCTTCCTCCCAAAGCCCATAATCCCATCTAATGATGAGAAATACAGACAAAAATACTACTTTTGAGGGTCATTCTCAAGATGCCTAACCAGTAACCCTCAGAACTGAAAAGTCATCAAAAGCAGAGAAGGTTTGAGAAGCAGTCACAGGAGAGGCCTCAGGGGATATAACCTCCCCATGCAAAGTGGGTGGGGTTTGGAACAGAAGAAATGTATGAGGCAAAACTAAGGAAATCTAAATAAACCATGGCTATAATAGCAGATTCTGGCAATGGCCTATAAATTGCAGCAAACGCACCATGTTCACGTAAGATATTACTAACAGAACTAGCTAGGTACTAGACATATGAGAACTCTGAACTATCTTCACAGGTTTTCTGGAACTCTAAAATAAATAATGTTCCAGACTGGGCAACACAGGGGACTCCATCTCTGGACACAAAACATCATAATAATAAAAATGCGCCAGACTCAGTGGCTCATGCCTATAATCCTAGTGCTTTAGGAGGCTTAAGTGGCAGATCACTTGAGCATAGGAGTTTGACACCAGCCTGGGCAACACAGTGAGACCCTGTCTCTACAGAAATTAATCAGGCATGGTGGTGTGCACTTGTAGTCCCAGCTACTCAGGAGGTGAGAGATGAGAGGATCGCTTGAGCCTAGGAGTTCAACGCTACAGTGAGCCACAATTGTACCATCACTCTCCAGCCTGGGTGATAGAGCAAGACTCTGTCTCAAAAATAATAATAATAAAATAAATAGTTTGATTTTGCTTTTAAAAGAAGTCTCTTTCATGACCATGGCACATTCCAATATATGTTATGCTATTATTCAAACCATCAGTGGTGATCCTCAGAGGAATGTGGGGAGGTAGGAGAAAGTATCATTACATCTGTTTTACAAATAAAATAACCAATACTTCAAGAAATTAAGAGTCTTGCCCAAAAACACATAGCTACCAAGCCCAAGAGATTAGTTTCTAATTCAAGGCTTATGACTCAGAGGCTCGTGTCTTTCATTGAAGCAAATGTTACCATCTCAGGGAAGAAAGAGATAAAGAAGACAGTGTGAGTCTCTGGCTGATGGCCAGAGTGACTGGCAGTGGGGGTGCTGAAGGAAGCAGAGAAGAGGTCAAGGTCAAGATCAGCCAGTGGATCACGGTCATCTTTGTGGGTCCCCTTGCTCTCATGTTACCTCAAGCCTACGCATGAAAAAAACAGTTCCCCTTTCTCTTTTTTTATCCGTTTCCAAATCTCCCCCACATCCTAGATGTGGAAATGCAATCCAGAATTCATTTGAAGTATTTTTGCCCAGCCAAAAAGCACAATGACATAAAGATCTTTCTTTCTCTTTTTGCCTGACCTCAAAACCTCACACCACAGAATGTCAGCACCAGCCCTGGCCTAGAAGATTGTGGTCCAGGCCTACACAGAATGAGTCAATGGTTGACAAGGAAACTAATTCTAGCTCCATTTCTGTCTCTTGTGCTTTCTTCAAGCCCCTGCAGCTTTCAGATCCCACTAGAATTAAATAGGAGCGAGGAGAAAGAACTTTCTGTAATTCAGCTTGGCAAGTATTGGGGAAGGGCTGAGAGTATGTGTGGGAGACATAGGTGATCAAGCCCTGCTGCTGTCCATGGAAGAAAGTGAAACAGAGGAAAACATTTTACCTTTGGGAAAGGGCGCTGAAGTGCTCCTGGTTTTAACCCAAACCAATTGTTGACCAAAATCGGGCAAGTCATTTTTTAATCTTGCTGGGACTCAGTTTCCTCTTCTGGAAAATAAAAGGTTTGGGTGAGGCAATCTCTGCTTCCTCTGAACGTGGGTATTCTGTGATCTAGTTTATGATCAATAATTATGAAAAACAGAGTCTGGGGATTCTTATCAATCAGAATAGAAATGAATAGAAGTGTAGTCATTGAATCAGATACTCACAGTGCACCTGTTTTAATGACTAGAAATATCTCTGGTCACATCTCCATAATGAGAGAGATGCTGAGATGATCATTTAACTCACCAAGAGTTATTGAGCAAATGCCCACTGGTTTCATCATGCCACACTACACAGTGAATTAAAGATAAAGGGGATATTGGGGGCATTAAAACTTATAATCATTTTTTTAAGAGCTTACAAGTTACTAGCTCATCCCATGGAATCTAGTCCCACAATTAACACATCAAGTTACTTGCTGTATCCTAAGTATAAACATTCTGTAATGAAGATATACTATGTGGGCACACTCTTGAATGTATGTATATGTATGTATGTGTGTTACTCATTCCACCTTTCCTAATCCAGCTGGAATCTCCACTTGCCTTATCAGGAAAGAACTCCTATAAGAAGTAGGATCTGAAGGATAAAAGTATGTCCTCAGGCATGTACCAACATCCAGGGGGCTACAAAGCAGTGGGAAATCTAACTCTCTGAAGGAGTCTTCGTCAGACCTCGGCCCCAGGGAGGGGGGGTTTCAATCAGGGTCAGCCTGGGTGGAGAGGTCCTCACCAAGCTCCTCCTGCTTTGCTCCATGCTCTCCCTTGAGTCATGCCTTCCTCCTGTCTCCTGTCCACCTCTCTCCCCCACATTCTGTTCTCTGCATGCATTTCCCTCCCGCTCTAGCCACATACTGTCTTGTCCCAGACTCTCCTAAGGACAGCAAATTACTCCTCTCATTTTTAAAAATGTAATCAACTGCATTTGATGCCGCAGGTGCTTTTGTCAGGATGGGTTTTTTAAAAAAATAGGTTGAAAAAAGTGGATAAAATATAAATTAAAAAAGAAGAATAGGTCTGGTTACAATCAATAACCCCAGAATTATTGACTCCTCTCCCCATTACACTGTGATGCTGCTGTAATCTTGCTGGCAGATTCTATAAAGGACGCATCTGTGCAAGATGAGATGTCCATTGTCAAAAGTTATAATTCTCTCCAACAGAACTCCCAAAACAACAGCCAGGCAGTTTCTGAGAACCACATGACATCACTCTCTAAAACCCATTTTGTGTCTCTGCCCCGGGGCCATTTCTGTCCTTAGCAAGTTGGCAGGAGAAAAGGAAGTAGAACCAGAAGCCGAACTTGGTCCCAGCCTGGTGACCTGTGTTCAGGCATTTCAGGCTTTCCTTTGTCCTTCCAAATTCCCTCCTAGAGAGTTATACCCCAGAGCTAAGGTCCTCCTAGAAACAAAGGGATTACTCATCCCAAGGAAAAGCTAGAGCTAATCTCCGTTTCCTTGCACAAATTCTCCAGCTGAGATTGCTGCTCGTCCGAATGTTTTGGCTGGCGGCAGAGTTCAGAGTTGGTTTCCAGAGATTTCCCCAGGAAAGACCAGGGCAGACCGTAGGCTTACATCAGCAGGAAAAAGCAACCTATCTGGACAAGACCCCTGGAAGCCAGGCCTGTTGGCAGTAGGGCTCCAGACCCACCAGCAGTCAAGGAAAATATCCAACCTGGAGCCGCTGACGCTTGCAGCCAGTAGCCAGCTCACTGTTCAGTCCCCAGAAGATAGCATGGCCAGACATGAAGGCTTGGGAGCTACATGACCTTGACAAAACCCTTCTTCTCCGAGCCTTGCCTTCCTCATTTGTGGAGTGAGAAGGCTGGAAGGGACAACCTTAAGTGGCCTTTCCAAATGTATGATGAGTGACCAGTGACTGGCTCTCTCTCAGTCCTGGGTTGGATTCGGGCTGTGACATCTGTCATTTCTCAGCGTTCCCATCCTTGTTGGCTGATACCCTACCCCAATCCCAGAAAGAGCTTCTGCCTGGACAGAGAGTATTTGGGAGTCTCCCACCAAAGCAAGAAAACCAGAAAGTCTGGGTGGGCCCTGCCCTCTGGGGCACTCTGTCCAAACTGAAAGCAAAGCTCTGCTGGTTTTGATTATGAAGATTTACAGCCAGGAGTGAGTTTCCTTGGCAATATTGTCGGCCACCTTTATGAGCAGCAATTACATAGCATTTGGTACCTGGGAAGGCAACAGGCGAGAGCTGAAATGGTGAAACGCTCTATCACTTCAAGAAGCACAACGCCTTTGGTAATAAATATTGACGTTCATTAAGACAAAGCCAGAATTCAATCTGTGCTGGGGAATTCTCTGCTTCCGGCCTCAAGAATGGTGCTTATTTACAAGATGTCCCTAAGGGAATGAGACAGGCAGGCTCACCTTGCTCCCCAAGATACATTTTATTCAACCAACTTGTCCTGGGCAAATGTGTGTCTGACAAGCCAATTTGAAAATGAATTTGGTACAGTTTCTGAGTTGATTATTTATTCTGAAAATGAATGCCTATTCTGGTGAGCTGACAGCTCAAGGGATGAGAGCTCTGTGCTCCTTGCTCACCTCCTCCCCCAACGAAGCACAAAGTGTGTGGAGTTTTTACAGGCACTGGGCTGTGGGGGTGCGGGAGGCGCCTCTATCCACATTCCCCAGTGCTCAGTCCGGCCTATGTTCATCCTGCTGACCAAGCCAGAGTGTGAGGCCTGTGGCGGGGATGGGGAGAAGACGGGTGGGGTGAGAGCCTAGGGGACTTCATCTGCATAGTTCTGCCAGGCCAGCATTTGGCTCTCACAGCCCAGAGTCATCATGAGGTCCTAAGATAGGGAGATGGAACCCTGGGGCAGGTTGTGGGCTAGGAAGAAAGTTTCTTACCTCCATTTGAATTCTCGACTTCTTGTACCTTGCTTTCTTTTTTTTTTTTTTTTTTTTTTTTGAGACAGGGTCTCACTCTGTCACCAGGCTGGAGTACAGTGGCACCATCTCATCTCATTGCAACCTCCAATCTTGGCTCGCTGCAACCTCCGCCTTCTGAGCTTAAAAAAGTGATTCTCCAGCCTCAGCCTTCTGAGTAGTTGGGACTATAGGCATGATCCACCAATGCCTGGCTAATTTTTGTATTTTTGTACAGACAAGTTTCACCATGTTGCCCAGGCTGGTCTTGAACTCCTGAACTCAAAGCCATCCACTCGCCTTGGCCTCCCAAAGCACAGGGATTACAGGCATGAGCAACGTGCCCTTGCTTTCCCTATAGCCTCTGATGAGTTTGATCATATTCAGAACCTCTATCCTGTCAAGATGATTCGTTTTCCAATTTCATGAAAAGGTAACATGGAGGAATGTACTCAGGGAGTGCGCCCTTGCCACCTCCCCTGGAGCTATGCTTCCTCCTCAGCCCTCCTACCAGGGTCCTCGGCAGCCCTCACTTTCTGGTACAGTACTGGAAGGCTTCATGAAAAGGGAAGATCCCATCAGGGTACTGAAGGATAGGGAAGTTTGGAACGTCAGAGAGAGAAAAGAATGTATTCCCCATGGGAGTAACTGCATGAACAGAGATGAGGATGCAGAAAGAATGTTCCAGAAATACTGAGTTGCCTGTGGCTAAAATGACATTGAAAAGAATCAGATCATAGAAGGCCTTGAATGCAAAGCTAAGAAGCCCAGACTGCAAATTTACCAAGGTGACGGATGTGGTTGCTTTCATTTGGCAGTTTTCAAGTTAATTTTAGACCATGAGCTTATTCTAATGTCCTCTTGCCTAGAACCTCAATGTACAAAGCAGATAAAGGTTAAGCTATTCCAATTAAACACAGGTGAAGGGCCCTGAGTCTTATCCCTTACCATACACAAAGTCACATGAGCTGCTGGTTGAAAATGCAAGCTCATGGAATCCCTCACCAGACCTGCTGATGTCTATTCTCTGGAGATGGTGTCCTAGAATATGCATTTGTTCCAACCGTTCTGGGTGATTGGTAAACACACTGAAGTTTGAGAACCATGGCTGTAGGGCTCGAGAGGGCAGAGTGTAAAGACTGACAGCATGTCTTAATTTGCAAGTACATTTTCCACCTGGCTTGACAGTATTCCCACCTATTTTACCTGTCTCTCTGATGTGTAATCTGGTTGTTCTGTGTTGTATAAATACTCCCACAAAGCATCATATGATTGTTTCTAGTACTGAACCTGGAGAGAAGGGCACTTGGCTTGGAGGTTCAGGGGTTATAAAAACTCGCCAACTCCCAAACTCCTGTACCTCATGTAGGGCCTCTGTGGCACTAGAAACCTCAGTTCTGAAAGCAAATATTTGTGAGCACCTTGGAAACCACATACTCTCAACCATTAGTGTGAAAGGGGCCATACACTTCCCAGATCAGTGACAAGAGCAATATGGTTCAGGAAGCTGAAATACAAAAATCTTAAGTTCAAGACCTCTGGAGACCTGCTCTCTGCCAAAAGGGTTGGGGTCCAGGCCCTGGAACTTCAAGGGGTACAGTGTGGACGGGGAGCCATTTTCCACAGCACCAAGTTTCAAATCAACACCTCGCCTCGAAAGGTACAGCTACTGCCAGTTCAGTCATGTCATTATTTCTGTTTTCCAGATGGGAGAGTGAGGGGAAGCAGCTCTGAGCAATTAAGGGTCTAGCCTAAGGTCACAGAGCAAGTCAACGCAGGCCCTCCGAAAGCACCAGGTCCTCCTGCCGGATTCAGGCAGCCAGTGGGCAATCTGCCCTCGGGCTCCTGCCTCAGTGCACCTTCATCTTGCCTGGCTCAGCAGCCTGCGCTGACTCTTCCTCGACTCCCACACACCTCAGCCAACTTGTCACTGCCCTGATCTAAGCCTCCCCTGCCACCCCAGCCTGAGGCCTCTGGAAATCAGGAGGCACCCGCACGGGTAGATGATAGCTGTGACAAAGTGAACTCAGAGGGGAGGAGGGGAAGCCTTGGCGTTTAGCTTCCACTTCAGCTCTCAGCCCACTAATTTGGGGCAGTAATGGGAATACAAGTGAGAGCTATGTCACCCTCTAGCTATGCTACAGCTATGGGGTGACACAGAAGCTGTTTGCCAAGCAATGGAGTGTAATTGGACATCTATGGCTTTGAACTGACCCCCAGCACTATCACCTGCACCCATACCTCCTTCCTTGGGACAATTGCTGCTCTGCCATGCTGGTCACATGATTCTAATGGGATGACAATCACCCTTAGTAGCAGTTGTCCAGGTCTAGCCAATATTGTTCCTCATCCACTTGGCTATAGCAATTCATCTAAGCATCAACATGGGACCATGTCTGGCCAATCAGAGTCCTTCCCTGGGATTTTTTTCAGTCTGAGTGTGGTAGATGGGGCTACAGATGTAAACCTTCCCTGACACTGGGAGAAGGCTTCCCTTTGGAAGAAACAATGAAACCAAGCAGAGACATATGGAGTATGCACATAGGGAGAAAAAAATCCTAATGGCATCATGTGAATCCCATAATCCAGTAGTAGCTGAATGAAGCTGCTTTCTAGCACATGTGCTAGAAAATTCCCAGGTACCTGTGCTAGATAGCAAATCTGCTTTAAAAAAGATAAAAAAAATCATTCAAATTTCACTTCTGTTCCTTGCAACCAAAAAGTCTTGGTAAATATAATGGAATAACCACAGAGCCTATTCTCACTACTCTCAGACATAGAACAAGTTTTTGTTTTTGTTTTTGTTTTGAGATGGAGTCTCCCTCTGTTGCCCAGGCTGGAGTGCGTGGCGCTATCTCAGCTCACTGCAACCGCCACCTTCCAGGTTCAAGTGATTTTCATGCTTCAGCCAGCCACCTGACTAGTTGGGATTACAGGTGTGCACCAACACACCTGGCTAATTTCTGTATTTTTAGTAAAGACAGGCTTTCACCATGTTAGCCAGGCTGGTTTCAAACTTCTGGTCTCAAGTGATCCACCTGCCTTGGCCTCCCAAAGTGCTGAAATTACAGGTGTGAGTCACCATACCAGCCATAACAAGCTTTTTAAATGCGCATTAAGGGTCTTTTCTTGCCAAATGGAACAGGAAGAGGGAACAGGTAGGTCAAGCCAGGAGCCAGCAGTGGAAGGAACCAGTGGAGTTGGGGCCAAAAACAGTAAAATAAAATCATATGCTTATGAATTGAGGGCTCCAGATCTGATACGGGGCCTGATAAATGGAAGTGAAACAACATCCCTATTGCTCATTTAAACTATTCTCACCAACGTCAGCAGTGAGGACTTAAGCACTGAATCCCACAGCAGTCTCTCGGCTCCCACCTGTGTGCAGCCCATGGCTGGCCCTGATCCCAGAGCCTTCCTTTAGTTCAATGCTCCTCTTCTTTGAATGTCCTAAAAGAGTGTGACCACTCTTGCGTCTCCTCAGACGCCTCCTGTTTATTCTCCCAACACTGAAGTGTGGGCACTGCTTGAGGCCATGTGCCAGGTATCCCACAACACCTTCCAGCTTGGAGTTTAAGTTTTACAGAAGCCCCCTCCTCCCAGACCAGAATTGTGAGCCCGAGTGTCTCTTGTGAGCTCCAATTCACGTTCGTCATTCAAAGACTGATCAGCTTTCACCACATCCAGGGCCTCCTCTGATCTTCTGGGTATAGCCAGGGACCCACAACTCCCCTGCTAGCTCAGGCTCCAAAGTAAACAACTCCTCTTTTCTTTCCTTCATCCTGCACAGCAGGTTATCTTCTTCTTCTGTAATTTCTTCTTCATTAGCATCACTAGCATTCTTCCCTTGCTCTTTATTTTTAATTCTTATTTCCTTAAGGCCTTTATCACCTTGTAGCTAGACTTCAGCAATAGTCTCTTCTTTGCTCCTTTCAAATATTTTATTCAATAAACAGGGACAAGGTGCCTTTTAGGCATCCAACCCTATACAGTCTTCCTACTCTCGAATCCATTCTATACACAACAGCAAATTAATCTTTCACAAGTACTACTTTGATTACATCATTCTGGGTCTCTAAAGTCTTCAATGGCTCCCCATTGCCTACTGAGTAAAAGTCACAGTCACGAGTCTAGTATTCAAAGCCCTCTGTAATTTGTCCCCAACCTACCTGTCTGGCCTGATCTCCTACTATTGCCTCTATACAGACTTTTTACTCCAGACAACCTGATCTATTCACTTTCCCTTGAACAAGCCCTGCACTTTTACACCTCTGAGTTGTTGCCCAGTCTATTTCCTCTTCATGAAGGTGTTCCCAGCTTATTCTGCGTCTACTCTCACTCATGACTCAGAGCTCAGCCCAAACGTGACCACCATCTTCTTCTCTTAACATGCCTACGAGAAGTGATTACTATCACTTTAGACTCTGTCATCCTTTGCTTTTAGTGTTTGTGTGATATCTAGCATGTGATACCTTGCACTGTGGATCGATGACCCATGCTAGGATCCCTATCACGAGAGTTCTTACCTGAAACATTAGCATCAGAATCATGAAGGTGTTAGTTTAAAATGTGGGTTCTTGGGCTCTGCTCGAGGAATCTGCACATTTGGCCTGTAATCTCGGTGATTCTCTTGAGCATTCAGACTTGAGAAAAGCTGTCTTATGAGAGTGTAAGTTCCCTGAGGGCAGGGACCACATCTTACATGGCTTCATAAACATCAATACACTTAGACACGCAAGTTGAAACGAAGTCCAAAGATCGCCGAGTTCAAACCTAAATATCCTTTCAACATCACCTCTAAGTTAAAACTTGCTAAACGTTACACATTAGAAGGATGTGTGTACAGAAAACATTTATCAGGTTCAGACCAAGAATGCTGTAAAAAGTTATATCAGGAGAACCTAGCCCAAGGTTCAGAGCAGAAATTTTTTTTTTTTTTTTTTGAGACGGAGTTTTGCTCTTGTTACCCAGGCTGGAGTGCAATGGCGCCATCTCAGCCCACCACAACCTCCGCCTCCTGGGTTCAGACAATTCTCCTGCCTCAGCCTCCCAAGTAGCTGGGATTACAGGCACACGCCACCATGCCCAGATAATTTTTTGTATTTTTAGTAGAGACAGGGTTTCACCATGTTCACCAGGATGGTCTCGATCTCTTGACCTCGTGATCCACCCGCCTTGGCCTCCCAAAGTGCTGGGATTACAGGCTTGAGCCACCACGCCCAGCAGAAATTTTTCTCTAATCTTGGTACCATAAACAGTTAGAGTTTTTATAAGCCGTTTAGATACATTTTTGTCTCCTGGATACTGAATTTTGTAAATGACCTCATTTCTCTCTTGTGTTGACCATGAGACCATCTATAACAAACTCCATGGCCACCACCAGCAGGTAACTAGGACTCCATGATGTCGACAGAGCATTCTAACCTCCCCTGTGACTCCACCACCTCCTCCTAGCCTTGTTTTCCTTTTGCCTCTTTTTTTGTTTTTTTAAAGAAAACTTACTTTTAGTTTAATTTCTCTTGCCATATTGTTTGCATCTTTGCAAAAGGTCTTCTGAAAGGAGGCCATTTATAAGTCAATAAAATAAATCCATGAACCTGTGGGTGTACAAATGTTCTCTGATTTTGTTTCTTTTACTCTGAAGGGAGAAATTCGTGTGGAAAATGAGTCTTCAGATCAGCAATTCTGAAGGAAAGCTGGGCCAGAAAGAACAGATGGAGTAAGTGGTGCTCTGAGGTCAGAGTTGTAAAAAAATTAGGACTTGTAGAGAAAACATGTATTCGGAAAGGATGATGGAGTTTTAGAACAGGAAGAGATGAGAGTGGTTTTCGAGTGTGATCATAAAAGGCAAAAAGCAAGAAAAAGCTTTTAGAGCAGGAAAAAGTAGTTAAAACGGGGCTGGTTTCAGGGAACTAACCTTGGAGTTTTTATGCCCAGACAAGGTAGGGTCTAACTACAGTTCTGAGGCCTCGGTGCAGAGGGACCCCACTTGGGTTTAGATGGCTGTGGGGAGTAATGAATTTATGGCCTAAGGAGGAAGAATCTTACCTTCCCAATGGTCAAGGAAGGTCAAGAAAAAACTCTGGTCCAGAACTGGAAGTTGAAAGCAAGAGTCCATGAGAAGAGACACATCTGACAAAGGACTGATATGTAGAATCTACAAGGAACTCAAACAAATCAGAAAGAAAAAACAAATAATCTCAGTAACTAAGAGTGGAAAGAGGACATGAATAGACATTTCTCAAAAGAAGATATACAAGTGGCCAAGAAACATATGAAAAAATGCTCAACATCACTATCATCAGAGAAATGCAAATTAAAACCACAGTGAGATACCACCTTAATCCATTATTAAAAAATTAAAAAATTATAGATATTGGCATGGTTTTTGTAAAATGGATCACTTAAATACTGCTGGTGGGAATGTAAGTTAGTACAACCTTTGTGGAAAACAGTATGGAGATTTTTTAAAGAACTAAAAATAGATCTACCTTTTGATCCAGCAATCCCACTCCTGGGTCTCTACACAGAGGAAAAGAAGTCACTGTATCAAAGAGATACACCTTGACACACATGTTTATCACAGCAAAAACAGATACACCTTCACACACGTTTATCACAGCACAGATACACCTTCACACACGTTTATCACAGCACAAACAGATATACTTTCACACACGTTTATCACAGCACAAACAGATACACCTTCACACACGTTTATCACAGCACAGATACACCTTCACACACATGTTTATCACAGCACAGATACACCTTCACACACACGTTTATCACAGCAAAGATACACCTTCACACACATGTTTATCACAGCACAGATACACCTTCACACACACGTTTATCACAGCACAGATACACCTTCACACACACGTTTATCACAGCACAGATACACCTTCACACACACGTTTATCACAGCACAGATACACCTTCACACACACGTTTATCACAGCACAGATACACCTTCACACACACGTTTATCACAGCACAGATACACCTTCACACACACGTTTATCACAGCACAGATACACCTTCACACACACGTTTATCACAGCACAGATACACCTTCACACACACGTTTATCACAGCACAGATACACCTTCACACACACGTTTATCACAGCACAGATACACCTTCACACACATGTTTATCACAGCACAGATACACCTTCACACACATGTTTATCACAGCACAGATACACCTTCACACATGTTTATCACAGCACAAACAGATATACCTGCACACACATGTTTATCACAGCACAGATACACCTTCACACACACGTTTATCACAGCACAGATACACCTTCACACACATGTTTATCACAGCACAGATACACTTTCACACACGTTTATCACAGCACAGATACACCTTCACACACATGCTTATCACAGCAAAGATACACCTTCACACACATTTATCACAGCACACAGATACACCTTCACACACACGTTTATCACAGCACAGATACACCTTCACACACACGTTTATCACAGCACAGATACACCTTCACACAGATGTTTCTCACAGCACAAACAGATACACCTTCACACACGTTTATCATTGCAAAGATTCGACCAGAGTGTCTATGAACTGATGAGTGGATAAAGAAATGTGGTGTATAATATACCATGGAATACTACTCAGCCATAAAAAAGAACAAAATAATGTTTTTTGTAGCAAATTTTGTGGAACTGGAGGCCATTATTCTAAATGAAGTAACTCAGCAATCAAAAACCAAATGCCACATGTTCTCATTTTTAAGTGAGAGCTAAGCTATGGGTACGCAAAGGCACACAGAGTGACATAATGGGCACTGGAGACTCAGAAGGGGGAGGATAGGGAGAGAGTGAGGGATGAAAAACTACCTATTTGGTATAATGTATACTACTCAGGTGACAGGTGCACTAAAATCCTAGACCTCACCAGTACTCAATTCATCCTGTAACCAAGAACTTCTTGTACCCCTAAAGCCATTGAAATAAAAAAAATTTTAAACAAAAACAAACAAATATAAAAAATAGTAGATGAAGAGAGGAGGAGAAACAACAGATGTTTGCCCTATATATGATGTCATGTCTGCATATTACCTAAAGTGCATGTCTTTGGTACATCAAAACCCTTCTCAGGGTAGTAATAAATTGTGTGAAATTTAAATACGTTAGAAGAGATGGAGATACAGGGGGCAAAACAGTTTTAGAATAAACTCTTGACTTCAGGGAGCAGGCAGTGGCAGACTATCATCTAAGTAGCATGGTAAATGGCTAGGCTAATGGGCTACCTTCCTCTTCACATTAGTAAATGCTGAACACCTTTGGGCTGACACAGCCCAATAGCACAACGTTTCAAATGGGAAGGAGCTGGCCTTTAGAACAGTCCCTGATACCGGCTTAGGATCCAGGGGCCCAAAATACCAACAAACATAGAATATTGGGTGGTGGTTTATTTATTCATTCCACACTTATTGAATATTTAATGACTACTGAGCACCGCGCCAGGGATCGGAAATATGAAGGATACTGACACATACTTCTTGCCCTTAATAAGCTCAAAGCCCGGGGAGAAAATCAATATGTAAATAAAGCATGACTGTGAATGGTATGAGTCATGCTATAGTCAAGGCTTGTGCAAAGTGGTGGGATCACAGAGGATGGAACAATTAATCTGCCCTGGGGAGGTTGAGAAAGGGGGATTATTTGACCAGGATCTTGAAGGATGACTAGGAGTTCTGCAGACAAGAATAGAGAGAAGAGAATATGCAAAAGTGCAGTGGTCTTAAATAACAGGGTATGTTTTTGGAACATTAATTAGTTTGGGGTGATTAGAATAGAGTGTGGAATAGGAGTAGCAAGAGATGTGGCCAAATATTTGGGACTAGACTGTGAAGGTTCCTAATATGGCATCCTAAAGAGCTTAAACTTTGTCTTCTAAGCAGAGCAATAATCTCAGACACGTTAAGGAAAAGCAGCTCTTGCAGTAGTCGGCACCAACTTCTGGGAAATTTCTAGGATCCTGATGTCTCTTGGGAGTCCACCCTTCAGTGATCATCAGAGTGGCAGGTTTCTGACGCTTTAGGTCCCAGGGGAGGTGCAAAGGCTCAGAGAGGGCAGGCTGGCTGAAAGGTCAATGCTGTGGGTGTAGACAAAGCACCAAGGTGGGCCCCAGAAGCCCGGTTTTGCCTGGCTGGGGACCAGCTTGAGCTGAAATACTCTCCATTTCTGAAGGCCCAGTGTGGGCCTTCAATCTTAGGGCCCAGTCACTTCGTATAACAGCAATAGTGAATTTGCATGCCAGGAAAAAATGAAAGGCTGTACTTCTTCCTTCGAATCAAGTTGTTATTGTTCAAATGCATTATTAATGATCAGGGCTGCAATCATTTATAACACGGTCATCACAAAAGCAGCTGTTACCATTTACACATAGCTCTCTGTGAGTATGTTATTAAGGTAATATTTTACCATGCATGCGACTTGCTTAGGGGCTGCATGCCTAATGCTTGCCTTGAACAGATCCCCCACTCCCTTCTTAGAAGTAATCACTCCTTTCCTTTCTTTACAGAAATGCCAGCGAAGGGAAGCAGGAAGGGAGATGAAGATAGGGAACCCTGAAAAATTAAAGCAGAAACATAGACTGTATTTTCCCCTATCCTTCTTTTCTTCGTTCTCTTTTTTTCTTTTGAATGAAAAGTAAAAATGCAGAAAACCTCAGGAGCCTTGTAACTTTCCCATTTTTATTTAAAAGTAAACCTACTGGTGTAGCTGTCACTACTCCTGTGCATCCAATGCAAGCTCCAATCCCACTGCCCAATATTTATATATGAGAAGGTAAATGCTCTAAAGAGAAAAAATAAATCAGGTAAAATGGTACAAAAGGAATAGGGAATTTGCCAAAAGAGAGAACTGGGAAGCCAGCATAGTCCTTTGAGGACCCCCTGAGCCAGCAGATGGAGGGTGGGAGTACAGAGGAATACCAGGAGTGTATGTGGCCTATTCTGTGACTTCTGCGCTTCACATCTGCCTGATGGGGAGTCTGGTGGGCTAGGGGTACAAGGGGAAGAGACACAGAGATTTCCCCTGCATCTGGGACTCTTTATGCCTACTCTGGGCATAAAGGTAAGAAAAAAATGATGGCCCAGCAGCAGATGTCAGATCTGCCTCTTACTTTTCCAGGCTGGACCAGCCTCCTGAGCTTTCATTCACCAATAGGATGGTCCTGGAAATCTGCATTGAGGATGTCAGAAGCACCTGCAGGGACCAGGTGTGGATAGATTGCAAGACTAAAGAAGGGACGCAAGGCTTCAGGGAACATCCTAGAGGGATCCATGACTCTTGGGGCAAAATAGCAGACAGAAATCCTGAATTCCCCTGGCACTTTCACAGGAGAGGGGATCCTCTTCCTTTCCTCTACCCAGGAAAATAGAGGCATTGCAGGAGGATCTGAGGACTGACCCTTTAGGTTGGTGATTGGGTGTACAATGAAGGAGGAGTTCATTGGACAAACGGTTGTACAGTGGCATTTAGGGGCCAGCCCATTGTGGCAGGAAGCCTATCGAGTGGCATAGAAACCTCATCTGATCTGAAAGATCATGGAAAGCTCATACAAGAAGCTATGCAGGTTACAAGTTACGAGCTGAAGGGTGAGTCAAAGATTAACTTGGCAAAGGAGAAAGAAAGAATAAAGCATCAGGAGTAGAAGCATGCACAAAAATCTGAGGCATACAGGAGTGTTGATTAAGGAACCAAGGGAAGGCCATGCAATGGAGCTCAGATAGTGAGGGAGAAGAATGTAAGAGGAGGCCAGGGAAATAGCAGGGATAGGTCACATGGGGCCTTGCTAAGGATTTTGGTCTACACCCCAGGAGCAATGGGAAACCAATGCAGAGTTCAGGATTTAAGCTGAAAAGAGCCCTCTGTGGTGTGGAGAATAACCAGAGGGGTTGGCCTGTGTAGGGTGAGTGAGGAAGCTGGAACCAGCAGAAGACTGTGACACTTTAGCCTGTGGTTGTAGCATAAAGTGGAGGCTAAGAAAGCAAGTCAAGTAATCATTAGGAAGTAAAATCAGCAGAGACCTTGTGATCAATTGGATAAGGAGACGGAGAGAGGGGACCCCAGGTTCCTAGTTTGTGCAAATGAAGACACAGCATTTCTATACACGGAAAGAAGGAACAATGGAAGAGGGCCAGGACTGAGAATGAAGGCAGTGAATTCAGTTTCAAAAATACTGAGTTGGAGGCAGCTTCAAGAGAGTTAAGAGGAGATTTCAGATTTGCTGTTGGAAATACAGCTCTGGAGTGTACAGGAGAGGTCTGATTTGGCAGCAAATGAGGGAGCTGTTGGCATATGGATGATGATTGAGGCCAATTCCATGGAGAAGATCACCTTTGAGGGAGAATATAGAGTAAGAGGAACTGAGGGCCAAGACTTGAAGAATCCCATTGTGCAGATGTCAGATAGCAGAGGAGGACAAGCCTGCAGCAGAGACTGGGGAAAAGCCCCAGACAGAGGAAAGGAATCTGGGAGCACAGGACTGTGCACTGGGAGAAAGCAGCATCGTCTCCCAGCAAACGGGCAGAGGGGTGCGTTCAGGAAAGTGGACTATCACTGCGAGGTCAAGGGAAATGAGAGTGAAAAATGTCCATTGAATAGAGACATCAACCCAAGGTCCATGGGGACCCAAGTCATAACTGTGTCTATGTTCATATTAAAGGAAACAACATGTGGGTACAAGGCACCCCCTACAGCAGCTGGCACATACTCAGCCCTCAGCAAATGTCAGCTTTTGTTAGATTAACTCTTTAACATCTATACATCTAATATTCTCCTATTCTCTTGAAGGGAGAAGAAAATGAGGTTAATATCTTAACAGGAGAGCTTGAGATTAAACCCAGAGAACTTCCAGACAGGAAGGGCTGTAAAATGCCCATAAAGGCTATTAAAGAAGATGACAGGACTCTGGATAAACTTAGGCTCAGGACAGATTTCTTGTGGTGTCTGAGACAGAGCTGATGCAGCCCTTCCTGGAGGCAGGGGACCCATGCCAGTCATCAGGGTGGGTAATTTCTGCGTTGGGTGGCCTAAGTCCTCCCTCCCCTGCCCCCATGGAGATGAGAGCTGCGCTGTGAAGGAAAAGGCTCCTCATTTCAATGGTTGGGAAGCCCAGGTTAACATTAACGGAGTGCTCCAGGAGAAAGCACCCAGAGGACAAGCACTGAAAAATATGCTTGAAGGGCCAGCCGAGTGGCCGGGATTACAACGTGACGCCCGGCCTTGGGTCTGTAATGGGGGGGTATTAGTCATCTCTTCAGACCTCAGCTCCATTATTTTTTGTCGGAAATGTGAGAACAGCTCTCATTAATAACGTGTGGAATCACTTCCAACTATTTGCCTTTCAAGTCAGCCTCCTCAGGTCGGGTGACATATCTCGTTTAACAGGGGGTGCCATTAGAGAGAAGATTTAACGTGTGGCTAAAAGCATTTGTAGCGAGAGCTGTGGGTGGGTTCCTTTTTAAGCTTCTGTGGCTGGTAACTTGTGTCTCTTCCCTCCTTGCTGTTGGGTTTTGTTATTGAAGCCTTTTTCTTTGCTGAAGGAGGTTGGTCATTAACTCTCCCCTTCCCGGAGGATCCCCTGACATGAGCAGGGCAGGTCGAGAGCTGAATTAGAAATCTTTCCTGTGCCAATCAGAGACTGCATGAAGCTTAGCAGGCTGGCATAATTATTCAAAGCTTCTTGCTATCCTCCTACCAATGCCCCCTTGCTCAGATGACCTGGTGTCTTTTGATATCGATGTCTTACAGCAATAAGCTTAGCCTTGAAAACAGAACCACAGATTTACCAGCCCACGGAATCTATCTACCAACAATAGGAGTCCTGCCTTTCTCATGCCTTGAGAGGGCCCACAGCCATACTAGGACCAGTAGAAAGAAGAGGGCTGGCCGGGCACGGTGGCTCATGCGTATAATCCCAGCACTTTGGGAGGCCGAGTCGGGTGGATCAGAGGTCAAGAGATCGAGACCATCCTCCTGGTCAACAAGGTGAAACCCCGTCTCTACTAACAATACAAAAACTAGCTGGGCATGGTGATGCGCACCTGTAGACCCAGCTACTTGGGAAGCTGAGGCAAGAGAATTGCTTGAACCCAGAAGGCGGAGGTTGCGGTGAGCCGAGATCGTGCCATTGCACTCCAGTCTGGGTAACAACAGCGAAACTCCGTCTCAAAAAAAAAAAAAAAAGAAAGAAGAGGGCCGAGAATCTGGAAGAAGAACTTGTTATTTTACTAAAACCTCCTTTCTTGACATTTATCCCTGAAGGCTGGGACCATTTAAGGCCCTGATGAGCTTCTGAAATCTCTGTCCTAGAGCAATCTTCCCAGCTCCCAAAGTCTCAACCTCTCTGAGCCTTGGATTCTTTATCTGAACACAGAGAGAATAATAGCTACCTAGCAAATGAAAGGCTGTAGTTAGAAGCACTGAGCACAGGGCTTTGCACATGGGAGGGGCTCAATAAACACATATCACTTATGTCTTTTTTGGTTACAAGTTATAAGCCACAGGAAATCTAACCAAAGTGCCTAAGTAGAGGGGGTTTACTGGATTGTATAATTAACAAACCCAGAGGTAGGCCTGGCTTTAGGAATCTAGCTTAAGAAATTCTCTCCAGAGTCAAGTTCACCTCTGGCCAACCCCTGACTGGGCTTCCTACATCCTGAATCTAGGTCATTCAAGGCTTGGTGGCAGCAAGATGGCAACAGCTATTTCAGTCCCAAGTCAACAGAAAAAAAGCTGCTCTTCCCCTACTTCACCTACCAACAATTCACCTAAGTCCTAAGCCAGACACTCACTGGGCAAGTCTGGTTATGGACTTATCCCGGAGCCAACTGCCAAACCTTAGGCCTTGCAATGTGATGACTGGGTTTATGCCTGAATCTCAAACTCCACCTGAAGGAGAAGAATGAGGGAGGGAGCCTCACCAAACTCAAGGTGCTGAGAGTTGCATGGAAGATATAGCTCTAAAAAAAAACAAAGGTATAGTGTCACTACCAAAAAAAATGGCCAGGGAGGATGTTAGGATACCCAAACATAGAAATATCCCCTGCAAATAATAATTTCCCATCCTACCCCATGTGTAAGATATGGGTTATTTGAGAGTATCATTTAATAAAGACATATCATCAAGGAAAATTCCACGAAGTTGCCCCCAAAACTTTTCAGCAAAGTGCCCTCTTCCTCATATATTAGTAATATATTGATTACACCCATTATAGCCCTTTTCTCAATCTGACTTCTATTAGAGTTACTTACCATAAGGCTCTGTCACCTCCATTGCAATTAAGCTCCTGGTAGTCAAATACAGGGTTGTTTTTCTCTTCACCCCATAGAGCACAAAGCACACAGTCAGAAACCTGGGTGCTTCCCGACCCTCACTGGCTCCCTCTATCCAGTTCAGCTCTGTTCTTCCCTTTTCTTCCCCTGACCACCTGGTCTACTTGGGATTAGACTGGGAGGGACTAGTGGATTCCATGAAGTCTAAGGTCAGAGGTTTCCCAAATCACTCTCTCTCTTGCCGGCATCTGCCTCTGTTATAGCTTCTCACATGTTGTATCTTGGGTTGTTTTTCTGGTTTCCCACCAAGAAGAAGTCTCTGGGAGTGAGTAGGGCCTTTCCTTTTCACCTTCGTTTCCTTGGTGCCTAGAACAGTGTCTGCCTCCAAGAAAGCACCCAATTAAGTGGTATAACCACTATGAGTGATTCTCACTCATAATCGCCCCTCATATTCTCAAAGAAGAGCCTCATCTATCAAGGCTACTGAAAGGGAAGGTACTCAGCTCAGGTGAGGGATTCAAAATCTACTAAAGGGCTAGATGCAGAATACATAAATAGAGAATGGACTGTAAAGCTCACTGTTTGTTCCTTGCTTTCTATCAAGCCAGAGAAGATGCAGAGACAGTATAGGGAGCCTGACAGGCTATAGTGGGCAGACTGAGTTACTAGAGCAGGGGGCCTTCAGCTTGACTCAGTGTGCAGTTGGTACCCATGGGGAAGGGGGAGATGAACAATTAGTGGCGGGCTAACAGCAGAGACCCTCAAAGGCAGAAAAGCAATATGGATGTGGCTCTGAATAAGTAGCCTGGCAAAGCATGATCTCAGTAGTGTCCTGAAGCCAAGAGGAACAGGCTCCACCCCCTGGGATGTGGGTGGCCTCCTCCGAGAGGAGGCCAGTACCTTGGTCAGATGGAACTGGAGCTCAGGGGGCTGGAGTGCTAATTAGGAAACCAAGGCAGAGTCCCAGCACTAGGAATGGAACCTCTTTAGTGGTGATCCAGGGGAAGGTGTTTGCCACAAACATACTGGATCTTGAATCTGTGGGCAGACATCTGAGTCCAGCACTTCCCCTACCAGTAAGAGGGAGGTGCTAGTGCCCTCCTAGCCCCATTAGGGCAGGTTCCCTAGCTAGGTGGGGCTGAGCTTGTAGGAAAAAGCCCTGCAGGGCTGGGCAAGCCAGGACTGATGGCTAGGCCAGGTGAGAAAGATTTCCTGCTGGATTTGCAGACTGAATATGTGTCTGGGGCCAGGGGCTGAGCTGCCGCCAGCACCATCTGACCTCAAGGATCCCCCTAGTCAACAAGCAGCAAGAATAGGAGACTCCAGAGGCTCCCTCAGCTTTAGAGAAAGCTCTGCAAACAAAACTCAATTTTTAGGGGTTAATCTTCAGCCCTGGGAGAAGGCAGTGAGCCTCCTCTGAAGGGCCTAGCCAGGGAATGGGCTGAGACTAAAGGAAAGGCCCAAGGCTGCAGGCCTGAGATTAGTTTGGCAGCAGCTCCAAAGAGCAGCCCTTCAATCGCAGGGATTGAGCCCTTAAAAGTCCTGGCTGCCTCCCACCAGCCCTGCTAATGGGGCTGAGCTGTTGGAGCCCTGACCTCTGTCTACCCGCCTGATGATCTGCTGCTCTGAATCTCACTTCCGCAGCACCCAGGAGGACCAGAGACTCGGTCTAGCTTATGTGCTCCATGGCCTTGCATGTTTTCAGCACCTACTGTGCGCAGCATCGCCGCGCCTCCCCATCCCCCTGCCTGCTGTTACTCTCACCAGCGCGCCCAGTCACGGGCTAATTAGTGGTTAATTAGTCATAGGCTAATCAGTGGTTAGGGCTACAGTATGTATGCATGGTGGGGTGCAGACAGTGGGGTGGCCGGCGGGTGACGGTGCGGGTGGAAGAGAACAGGAGAGACGAGGCCGTGGTCTGACCTTCCTCCAAAAAGCCCGGAATCCCTGAGTCTGTCTGTGGCAGCTGTGGAACAGAGGGAGCATGGGATCTGAACCGTGCCGCCATCTGGGAGAGCACACACACAGCCAAACCCCGGAAGGAAACTCGAGCTGAAATATACCGTTTGCTAAGGAGCCGGTCCGGGCACTGGTTTCTCTGCGTTCTGAATTTCTAGAAAGGGAAAACTCTCCCTTGCCAGGCGACGTCTACCACCCCTTCCCACTGCGGCCCCTCCAGTCCGCACCCCTTCGCCTCCTAGACCCCCTGTGAGGACCCTCAGCAAACTTCCGCAAGGCCTGACGAGCCCTGGGTGCGGGGTGGTGTGGACGCAGATCTTTCGGGCCGAGGGGAAGGCTGCGGGGGTGTGGGCGTGGAGGTGCCAGGAGCGCGCAGCCTCCGCCTGCCCGGCTGTCTCCGCGGACCCCACCGAGGGTGGGAGAGAAGCGCTGGGAAAAGGAAGGGGAGAAGGAGCCCGAGCGGGAGGCGAGCGAGCGGTTCTTTCGCTCCTCCCAAAGAGCGGGGCGGCTCCGCTGTGCTCCTGACAACCCGGCCGCCGCCGCCCTGCTACCGCTCCCCGGGACCCGTCGGCGCTGACACTGGTGACCCGCTGCGGGGGCGCGGGGCGCGCTGGACACTGGCCGCCGGCTCTCGGGCCCGCTCCTGTCGCAGGCTTCCGCTGCTTCCACGGTAATGACACTCGGCTGAGCGGCCGCCATCTCTTCTGGTACCTTCACTGGAGGAGGGAGGGGTGGGGAGAGCCCTATGTCCACTCACACCCTGCCCTGGCGCTGGTCTGGCGCCGCCAGCTGCTCTCGCTCTGGCCCGAGCTCAGCCGAGCAGCTGCCTTCATCTGGCTTTCTAGACCCTCCCTCAGCCGCGAGAAGAGGTGCTCTGGCGACCTCGGGCCTTCCCTGGGGGTCTGCGCCGGCCCCTACCCCAACCCGCCCAGGGAAGAGGCGCGAAGGGGTGGGCCGCGATGCGGAGGCGGGAAACTCAGGCGAGATGCGAGGCTGGAGAACACGACGCATGGAGGCGCGGGGTGGACCCCCAGTGTACTCCAGGAGCCGGCAGGAGCTAAACCCCAGCCTGCAACCCAGGTATCCCTGCGGACCATGAGGTGCCACCCGTCCCTGGTCGCAGAAAAGACCAAGAACCTCAAAAGGGAAGGCCCAGCTCCCATACCTGCACCTCCCATGCCAGGCACCCAGCGTGCTCAACCGAGCCCCAAGACGCAGGTTAACCCTGTCCCAGCTTCTCCCCTTGGCTTTGGACAAGCCTCTCTTCTCTTCCCCAATGAGAACCACAGCTCACATTCGGAGGGCTTGCCTCCTTGGTGCTCAGAGCTCTCAACATGGGTGATCCTCTGCCAGGGGTCCTTAGCTACCCCCTTTGGACAAGGATGGACAGCTGTTTTCTCAAGCTTGCCTGGAGCACAGCTTCTAAACAGACGAGCTCTCCCCACGTTCCCGGCAGATTGTCTGGCCTAAGCTCCTTTGAGGAAATAAAGATGACCATAGCCAAGCTGCCCTGCTCTGCAGCAAGGACCCTGGGCGTCCCATCCTCAACTCCCCTGCCTTGTGCTAGAGATCAGCATTTCCATCCAGCAACTCCTCTGCCCCAGACTTACCAGACACTCCAGTCCACACTGACTCTCCTACCTGCCAGAACTGTGCATTTAAAATCCCATACTTGCTTGAGTCTGGCTTTGTTCTCCAGTAGTTTCAAATGCCTATGTTTGACTCCCCCGACCAGCCACACAGAGATAAGGTCATCACAAGCAGCAACTACTGCTTTGCTTGTTTTGATTCCCACAGAGCCAAGCACAGACTCATGTAGCATAAGTGCTCAGTAAGTGCCCACGGACTTGGCTAATGGATGGACTTGGAGGGGACATTGCCGGATCAGGTAAGAAAGGTGGCCTTACTCGCATCTGCCCTACCAAGAGGAACCTAAGGTCCTACTGCCTGCCTAGGGGTGTCTCAAAAAGCGGCCGAATCCAGTTCTCCCCCCACCATCCATCTTTCCTCGCCTCCAGTCCCCTTGGCCATCTGGATCCTCCTGGGTTTGGAGAGGCCAATGCTTGTGGCTCGTACCAACATCAATTTGCAGTCTCCAGGATGCAACTTCACCCTATGCTGCGTTCATAAATTAATCTCCTGGGATTAGATTCTGTGTTTTAGTAACACTCCTGAGGCATTGTATTTACACATTAATAATAAAAGAAAAAAAGTGAGACAAGTTCTGACAACTTTCAATAACATTCAGAAATAAAGTGTGAGGCGCAGAAGTGTCCAAAGTTAATTAAAACCATTTGGTGCTGACGGGGGCTGGGGGTGTTGCCTGCCAAGCTCCGACAGGTGCTATTTCTGAAATGCAATTTCCCTGTCTGTAATGTACCTGAGGCCTGCAGAAAAGGAGAAGCTGAAATCAACTGAACTGGCAGCGTGAGCTCGAACTTTCTCTTGTTTTGTTTTACAGAGCCGTGGACACTGCCAGAATTTGTCAAAGGTCCTAGGAAGAAAAAGCCCTTGCACCCCTCTCCTCAGTGAGCACACAGTGTGTTTGGGCTGTTCACATTCGCTCCTCATAGGTGGGGTCCTGAAGAAAGTTAAGGGGCACTCTGTGCCCTGGGGATGGGACAGCAGCTCACCCTTTTACTAACAGCCATAAGGGAGCGTCAGACATTTACCTGACTAGATCTTCATCTCTAAGCTCAGAAGGGGAACAACAGCTCCAGAACTAAAAGAGGGAGCCTCTGGCAGACCCCAAAAGACAGCATATGGAGTGAAGCTGGGCTTCCCTGTCCAATCACTAGTATCACTTATTGTACAAATACCTTTATTTTAAGCCTGCAGATGCTTGTGAATTTGTGCATTTTCTTCATTTTCATTTTAGCTTGTCTCAATTTTAGAATAGCCTTTCTCTAGATAACTCAAGGAAGCAGGAGAAGGAATTCCCTTTGTTTCTGTCTTGAGCCCAGATGGACCATTGAGTGTGAGGAATAACAGGGATAAAGGGATAAACTCAGAAGGAATGCTTCGGTTTCATTTTATTGTGTTTTGTTTTGAAATGGAGCCTCTTCTCTTGTTGCCCAGGCTGTAGTGCAGTGGCGCGATCTCAGCTCACTGCAACCTCCACCTCCCGGGTTTAAGCAATTCTCCTGTCTCTCAAGTAGATGGGATTACAGGTACATGCCACCACACCTGGCTAATTTTGCATTTTTAGTAGAGATGGGGTTTCACCATTTTGGTCAGGCTGGTCTTGAACTCCTGACCTCTGATCCACCTGCTTTGGCCTCCCAAAGGGCTGGGATTACAGGCATAAGCCACTGCGCCTGGCCAGAAGGAATGTTTTGGGTGCTACACGTGCAGCCCCTCACAACTGTATCTTCTCAGAGCTCTTCACATTCCTCCGTGCTTTGTGTTTTGTTTATTTAAGGGACAAATAAATCTCTTCCTACTCCATGGGATTTCCCTTGATTTTTATATTGGGAGTAAAGAGATGAAGCATGAGCCTTCTCAGCTGCATCCCAAACTGCATCTAATCCCAGCACATCTCTCTCAATCTTTGATTAAGTCTGTTCATCTAAAAGAGAGACACAGGGGAAAAATGGAAATGGGACTTTGGAAGGAGAATGACCATCCTCATTCCCATCACAGCCTAAGATTTCCTGTCTGACTAAGATTTTCAGTAGATGGCCCTAGGTCTAGTTTCCCACTTCAGACCTGTTGCCCTTGGCTTCAATAGAGGACTTCCGAGTTACTAGGAAGATTTCACCTCTCTTTTGAAACATAATGGACAAATGTGTTTCATTAGGATGAGAGGTGTACCTGGCTAGATTCAATATTTATTTTTCTAAAATAAAGATTAGGAAAATAGAAAAGATTAGGGAAAATAAAGATTGGGAAAAGATTTAGGAAAATAAAGATTGAATCTAGCCAGGTGCACCTCTCATCTCAATCCACTAACCAGGAGGAAAACTCAAAAAGAAATACCACATGGACAAAAGCTCTCTCAGTACAACTAATATGGACACTCAACATGGCCTTATAGAAACTTATCCCTCTCCCAAGTCATATGTTTGTCAGAATTGCATGCCTATTTCAATCAAAGAAAAGTGATCTGATCTCTTCAGATGAAGATAGGACTTGGAGATGCTGCCGCCTAGGGTTAACTTGCCAGAGAAAGGGTAAGCATTTGGGAAGTGGGGGGGATGGGGTACAAGGAAAGACCTATCAGCTGAGCAATGGCAGGAGCCCTTCTGCCAATGGGCTGGCTCAGGGAGTAAACCTTCCCAGAACTTAGCTTCTCTCTAGAATCAAAGTGGGCAAAATGATTATTTGCCCGGAGTAAACCAGGTTGACATGGTAAACCGAGAAGGCAGACATGGGTGTTAAGCCAGATGCAGTCATACACTATAAGTAAACTATGTACCTGTAACCTGCCTGGAGTTTAGATTGCACCAAGTAATTTATTCATTCTCTCTAAACAGGTCATAATAAGTGTTAGTCCGTGATCCACTATGGAGAGAAATTTCTGGAAAGAATAGAGGCAGTGCTACAGGGTCCAAGGTTGTTATTTAAAGAGATGAATGTGGGCTGGGTGCTGTGACTCATACCTGTAATCCCAGCATTTTGGGAGGCAGAGGCAGGAGGATTACTTGAGGCCAGGAGTTCAAGACCAGCCTGGCCAATATAGTGAGACCCCCATCTCTACAACAGATAGAAAAACTTAGCCGGGCATGGTGGCAGGTAGTGTAGACCCTGCCACCATGGGACCACAGCCCCTGTAGTCCCAGCTTCTCAGGAGCTGAGGCGGAAGAACTGCTTGAGCCCAGAAGTTCAAGGTTGCAGTGAGCCATGATCATGCCACTCATTCCAGCCTGGGCAACACAGCAAGACCTGAATCAATAATAATAATAATAATGCAACACACACTATCTTTTACCTCTTGAGCAATGAATGCAGATGCCATGACCACATCTGTTTGTTGGGGACCAGGGAGGCTGGCAGTGAGGATTCAGGGTGGAAGCAGCCATGTACCCAATACCTATTGTGAGATGTGGCCTGGAGAGCCCTGAGATTTCCTGGCCAGGCTCACTCACTACCCAGACACCCTCCTCCTATGTGGCCAGTCCCTCAGCCCCTCCAAGGCTCACTTCTCAGACATCGGAATAATCCACATCCTCCACCTTGAGTTATTCCTCACAAGGCTTGCGAGTTTTCCTAGGAGGAAAGGAAGGCACGGTTGAACCCACACAATTCTGAATCTAGAATTTGGAGGATTTCTAAACCACTGCTGTAAGTCAGCCCTTGAGAACTTGTAGATTTTCTCATCATTTTCAGCATGAGAGTCTGGAGTAGACTGGATTTGACTCTTGGTTCCTTGGGCAAGTTACTTAACCTCTCAGTTGTGCGTCAGTTTCCTTATCTAAAAAGTGTGGTTAATAATAACTGACCTCTCAAAGGTATTGCGAGTTTATTGTGATGATTAAATTAGTTGATTCATATAAAATATTTAAAAGAGTGCCTGGCATTATTATTAATAGTAATAAGTTTAGCACAAGTCTTGCCTGCTGATAAGGAGCTGGATTGAATGACTACTTAGATTCTATTTCTTGGCCTTCTCTTCTCTAGACTAGGTGACCTCAACTTTCTCTTTGCCCCTGAAGAATGTATCCCAGTCTGCTAAGGAAAAGAAAGCCCATATGTGCACGTACACACATGCACCTGCACAAACATTTACACACAGTTTTGCTCCTCTATACAGAATTAATAGAGCTACTAGATTGTCTAGGAACTGACCTGAAAGAGAAAGGAAACACTGTTGATATAACCGATAGGTTTATATTCAAAAAGTTGCTAATCATATTGCTGTGAACCCCTGCCATCTCTAGTCCTGCCCACCTATGGGTACTGCAGACCAAATGCCCCGTTCCTGTTCCTGTCTTGACCAAGCCTAGTATGTTATTTGAGGCCCAGGCCCACCTGCAGTGGAGGGTCTATAATTGGCCTTGCTTCCTTAAGCTGGATACCCAGTGGGCCCAGGACTAAACCTCATGAAGCTTTTAAAGGCCCACTGAGATTAAGCTTTTCCACCAGTGGCTCACCTTGTCTTCCTAGTGACCATGGCTAGATTCTGTCTAGTTCTAGAATTGCACTCTAATTCTCTTCTGGGACTGTCACACTGACCTAAATCTCTATCTGTGTTAGAACTTTCCAACTTATCTGTCCAATCCCAATCCTTTTTCCAAATAAATTGAACTTTATCTTGATGAATATTTAATGTTCAACCCACCCCTGGTCCCTGGCTAGAATCATCTCTGAAATGTCTAAAGCTCTGCCACTACCTGTGCCAGGAGAATCAATGTATCACCACCAACCTAATAGTGACCATCAGCTTTGCTGGAGATTTCTGTTCACTGAACTGAATCTGTCAGCTTTTCCTGGTTCACTGGGACACAGATTTGGATTGGACGCCATCACCTGAGAGACAGTGTTAGCAGCAGTGTGAACACCACCAGTCCCTGACCTGCCTGTAGTTAACTTCCTCCTGTTTTCCTGTCGACCCACAAATTAAGTTGCTGCACACCCTGGGGCAACACCTGGGGGTATGACAACTAAAAACTAAGAAACTGCATACTACACATGCGATTTGTCTGTGTTCACTGCCCACCTGACATTTCTACTAGGATGCTTGCAAGACACATCAAACTCAGTAGTCCAAGACCAAACTCGTGATCTTTCGCCTAAAACCATAACCCCTTCCACTCTGATACTCCTCTAATCAGTTTTCCACACTGCAACCCAAGTGATCTTTTCAAAATGCAAATCTGTTCATCACACACATACACACTTAAAACCCTTCATTAGCTCCTCGTCATCCTCAGCATCAAGGCTCATATCCTTAACACAGGCTCCTCGTCCTGTGTGTTTGGCCCTGGATGCCTTTCCAGCCTTCCCTGGCCTCACTCTCCCTCTTCCCTGATATACTGCAGCCACTAGGGGGTTATGTTACTTAGCGCTTAGGTCACTCTGCAGGGAATTAGATAAAGGCACCCCTTCTGGATAGCCCAGTTGGAAAAAGATGCCCTTTCCTCTAAGCTGATGCAGCGTCTCATGGGGGCTTTCAATTGGCAAGAAAAGCAGAGCTGGATTTCAGCTCCTACTCTGCTTCCTCAGCCCAGCTGCGCCCTGCTGGTCCACAGCACAGCCTGTGCTGGCCACACCAGTTGCCTGCCTTCTTTTAGGTACCCCAAAATACACCGTGTTCCCTCCTCCCACTGGCTTTTGCTCTTACTACTTGATCAACCTGGGATACTCCTCCTCTCTTTTTGTCCAGCAATCTCCCAACCCAATTCTCACATCTTCAGGGAAGCCTTCCTGATCTCCTTGTTCTAGTCAGTTTAAGTTCCTTTGTGGTACTCTCTCATCAGACAGGGCTCCCATTTC